GAGATCATTCATCTAATATATCACAATGGAAAAAATTATTCATCTAATATATCACAATGGAAAGAAATCATTCATCTAATATATCACAATAGAAAAAGATCATTTATCTAATATATCACAATGGAAAGCGATCAGTCATCTAATATATCACAATGGTAAGAGATCAGTTATCTAATATATCACAATGGGAGGAGATCAGTCCTTTAATATATCACAACATAAAGAAATCAGTCATCTAATATATCACAATGGAAAGAGATCAGTCATCGAATTTATCAAAATGGAAAGAGACCAGTCATCTAATTTATCACAATGGAAAGAGATCAGTCATCTATCACAATGGAAAGAGATCAGTCATCTAATATATCACAATGGAAAGAGATCAGTCATATAATATATCTCAATGGAAGAGATCAGTCATCTAATATTTCACAATATAAAGAGGTCAGTCATCTAATATATCACAATGGAAAGAGATCAGTCATCTAATATATCACAGTGGAAAGAGATCAGTGTATAACAATGGAAAGAGATCAGTCATCTAATATATCACAATCGAAAGAGATCAGTCATCTAATATATCACAATGGGAGGAGATCAGTCATCTAATATATCACAATGGAAAGAGATCAGTCATCTAATATATCACAATGGGAGGAGATCAGTCCTTTAATATATCACAATGGGAGGAGATCAGTCCTTTAATATATCACAACATAAATAAATCAGTCATCTAATATATCACAATGGAAAGACATCAGTCATCTAATATATCACAATGGGAGGAGATCAGTCCTTTAATATATCACAACATAAAGAAATCAGTCATCTAATATATCACAATGGAAATAGATCAGTCATCGAATTTATCAAAATGGAAAGAGACCAGTCATCTAATTTATCACAATGAAAAGAGATCAGTCATCTAATATATAACAATGGAAAGAGATCAGTCATCTAATATTTCACAATATAAAGAGGTCAGTCATCTAATATATCACAATGGAAAGAGATCAGTCATCTAATATATCACAGTGGAAAGAGATCAGTCATCTAATTTATCACAGTGGAAAGAGATCAGTGTATAACAATGGAAAGAGATCAGTCATTTTATATATCACAATGGAAAGAAATCAGTTATCTAATATATCATTATCAAAAGACATTTAGTCGAGAATCAAGCCTTTGTTTCAAGCTGTTTGGCACATGCTCTGAAGGTCATGGGTTCATTTCAAGGGTGTGTTGTTTAGGGATAAACCCAAGTGCATTGAGAACATTATCTCGACTTTTAACTTTAGAGTTAAGAATCAGTTTCAATGTACAAAGATATCTCTATAGGTGCTAGGGCTGTATCGAATAGTGATTTTCACTATTCGGCGGAATACGAATAACGGGACCAACTATTCGGCCAAATACGAATAGCGAATAGTGTATAAAATATATCTTTAAAAAAACCATTCATAATGTCAAATGTATGCTGAACTTTTACTTCACATAAAGTAGCGCAGAATAGTCATCTTCTTCTGTAGCATTCTGAGCCCTTGAGGTTTACTGCTGCAGATATCAATCGTCTCCCTTCATCTCTCTGGCTGGCCTTATCTTCACAATTTGTGACACCAGTTGTTTGCAGGTCTGGCTGGACATTATCTCTCAAACTTCTTTTTTGTCTGCCTCCTGGTCTACGCCCATTCCTCTCTCAGGTGTATACAGTTTTACTTATCTGTCATCTGATATTCTTTCAATATGCCCAACCATTTTAGTCTTTTAGCTCCCATGATGCCAGTGATCAATGGTGATTTGAACAGATTATGTGTTACGTTGTTGCTTCTCTTTCTCCATTCCCCGCTGTTAGCATCTCTGATGGGTCCAAAGATTTGTCATAAGACTGTTTTCAAAAACCTGTAATCTCTTTTATTTCTGCCTCAAGTTTCAGAGCCATATAAAACAATGGTCTTTTCAACGTTTTATATGTTTTGATCTTGGTGTTGCGAGACAGACACTTTGACTTTAGCAGATGTTGAAAGGCATAGTATGCTTTATTTCTAGACTGTATTTCTTCTATCAGCATGTTGGAGCAGTTAAAGTTTGCCCCAAGTACTTATATGTTTTCGTTCGTTTGATTTTCATATTATCGACTTGGATGTGGCAGGAGATTATATTTTTCCATGTCTAGTTAGTATTCGTACAGAATAGTAAACATTTACAAACATTTTATGTTTTTCATCCTTCAGTCAGACTGTGGTAACTGATACCTAGGAATGAAATTATTCTAAGTATTACATCAAGTAACGAAACTTGTAAATTGTCACTGACAGCTTAGTTAATGCATAAAAGTTTCATTAGCTTTCAACAAAAAAAATCGTTCCATTTTGTCAGTATTAAAGCCGTGTACGCAGAAGCGGGTGTAAGGTAACTACTATTCGTATTCGGCCCGACTGCAACTATTCGGCCGAATACCAAATAGTCAATAGGTCCACTATTTTACCCCAAAGTGAATACAAAGCGAATATTCTGTACAGCCCTAGTAACTAATTTTCCTATTCAGCGCGACCGCAACTATTCGGCTCATAACCGAATAGTCAATAGGTCCACTATTCGGCCCCGAAGCGAATATTCGGTACAGCCCTAAAAAGTGCTTCATTTTCCTCTAACTGATTAATTTTAAAATATACCCGTGTAAATTCCCTTGTGGGGAGAACAAAAACAGACCCGCTGCCAACCCAAAAAAGCATGTTGTGAGAGTCAACTAATTGTTAACTTCCTTCAAAGTGCTTCCTTCGAGTGGCAAGGAACAACTGCACACAGATAAGCCAATAAAACAGATGCACATGCAAAACTAAGGCCATGGGGCAAAACCAAAGTCCAAACAGACTAGCAACCAGAACTCCCCCTGGAGCTTATTAGCCGGCCAACAAAAAAGAAGAAGAATTGTAAAAAAAAAATTTTTTTCTCCAAATTACATAAATATTATAGTCTGATAATAAATAGGTTTCACAAGTTTTTTTTTTTTTTTTTTACGTAGGATTTTTTCATCACATCATTTTTCTGAATTTTTTCTTCAAGTCCCTATTGTTTTTGTTCTCAACCAGGCTAACTCTGACCCTAAAAAGCGTCAGACAGATATCATGTGGGGCAGTGTCAGTCTGCTTCCATTCTAAAATTTTTTTAAAATTTCCCAACAAAGCCTACAGGACTGTGTACCAAGTGAGTGATGCTAATGTCACCAGATGACACAATCTGATCACCCTAATATCACTAGGTGAACCTGATTTGAGGAAACGTATAAGCTCAACATGATCTGAAGGCATGGATATTACAGGTTTAACATTATATAATGGCACTGATATCACCAGTTTAATACGATGACATCGATATCACCGGTTTAAGATGATTTGAAGAAAAGTTTAACATGATCAGTTGATACTGATATCACAGAGTGAATACAATTTGAAGAAGCATATAACCAGTTTAACATGAACTGATGTCCATGTTTAAAGAAAAAAACATATTATACCAATTTCACCACTTTAACATAATCGCATGAGATTGAAATCACCAAAATCACTAGTTCAAAAGAAATATGATTGCACTGATATCATCAGTTTAACATTTTTTGATGACATTGATATCTCAAGTTTAACACTATCTGATGACACTGATCTCACAAATTTAACATCTCATGATACTGATATAAATTGTATAACTGAAAAAAACTGAAATAATCTTATGAAGCTGATGTATTACCAGTTTAACAAGATCTGATGGCACTGATACCACTAGTTTAACATGATCTGATTACCTTAATATCAATGTTAAACATGATCTTATGGCACTAACACTACCAATTTAACATGATAAAATATCACTAGTTTAACATCTCAAGACACTGATATTACCAGTCTGAAATAATCTTATAACAGTGAAATCACCAAGTTAACATGACCTGATGACAATTACAAAATAGTGTAAAAATGTTCTGGGTATAACTGATCCACAATTAAAGCTGTCACGTGCAGATCGTGGAATAAAACACACCAAAAATGCCTAGGCAAATAGGACGTCATAAGCTTTACACATTGTTATGGTAATTGAATCTTGGAGATTCGTAGTCGAGGAGTCCGAAGAGCAGACATTGATGTCCTAATGTGGCTAATCCCAAGAGAGAATTTCAGCCTGTGTGCTGGGCATTACTGCCGTTTCTGCAGAAAGCAGGATAACTATAATCTGATGTTCAACTCAGCATGACTGTGGGATTATCATGAAAGAATGACATGGTTGTCTTCATCTGTATAAGGCTTCATACTGACTTGTTAAAGAAATCGGTACTGTTCCAAGGTCGAGCTGCTCACCTATAGTGAGTTGCTAATGAATCGGATATGGAATATGGATTCTAATCCATATGTCCACATATCACGTTATTGCACATTTTAGTTCAGATCATAGTGTTCATAATACACCAATGTTAAGTATATACATGGCCTTAGTCATTTGATTTACATTGGACACCTTAGAGTTGACTGTTACCGTTACGGTTGTCATGTTGCATCAGGAGTTCCAGATAGTGCCTGTTGGTCCTTGTCATCTATGACTATTTCCCCTAGACTTTGTTTGTAGAATGTATTATGTAAGTGCCGGTTACCTTGACCTGTACCTCTAAATTGTGAGTTTGTACGCTTCACTGATTCAACTGCCTTTGCCCATATCGATAGGAGCCTGTTATTGTCAGGCATTCCCATGCACATCTTAACTGAGGTCCTTCGCCTGTTGTCTGCTATTTCCTGGCATAGCGCACCGTCACAATAAACAAAGCTCTTTTGATTTTGGTGGTTGAATGTGGCAACATTTGTATGTGTCTTTGTGTTTTCTCCATCAAATCAGTCTGGTCTGGTATAACTGATAAAACGGTTTATGGGGAAAAACCCTGGAGTTAAAATAAAGATACAGTCTGGTTAGATACAGTCTGGTTATACATATGCTCTTCTAAGTATGCTTTACGGTATCTACTGAGCAGTAAACATAAAAAGTTCAGTCGTATGCGGTATGGTAATGTTGTTCAAGTTCAGACCAGGCCAGGTTTTCAAAATCTGTCGAAGCTGGTCAATATAAGCATCACACTCAGCTGCTGGAAGGAGTTTATAAGCAGACCCAGTTGCATGATTTGACAGAATTTCCTCAATATCTCCTTGAATTTTAATACCAGTAAGTGACCGGTGCCAGAGCAATTTAAAATCCTCTGATACATCTATGTCCTTACGCCAGTCCATAAAGTTGATCAGATAATTCACAGATCCACCAGTCTTTTTCACCACCTCTATTGTCTGTTCATAAAATGCAACCATAAATTCGTAACTAAACTCGGGCATATTCCAGATCAATATAAGTTTACCTCCAGGTGTCAGAACTCTGTGAATGCTGTCCAGATTATCCTTGCTTGAAAACCAATGGAAGGACTGAGCACACACAACAGTCCCTACAGTGTTGTCTGCCAGAGGGATTCTATCAGCAGTCGCAATGGCAACATCAACATTCAGGCCCTTAGATTTCAAAACCTCAAGGAAATTTTCAGATGGCTCGGTGGCCAAGTACTTCAGGTGACTTGGCAATTTCTTGCACAGGCGTTCAGTCAATTTCCCCGTCCCAGCTCCAAGTTCTAATACATCATATTTGAGACCACTTCCTAGGGCTGCTTCTGATGTAGCAACAATCTCAGACACAATCAGATCTACAGATTCATCTGTGTAGCTTGGACGATGAGCATCATAATTATCCCCACCTGTTTTGAATCCCAGGGCAGCCTGCCTCCTCATTTGACCAATGGATGATTCAGGTGCCATGTTAGAATAAAAAAGAGCAGTATGGAGTCTACTTAATAGAATATGTTGTGACATCAACTGATGACCTTTAGCGATATTAATCCCAACTGAACAAACACATAATGCTGTCATCTTCAGGTTCAAGAGTCTGCTTCTTGATAAACACTGAACCAGCAAACTTCCAACTGCTGCCATTTCAGTGCATCTGAAAAGTGTGGCATAAAATAATATTACAATGTGTAATAGCCTGCTTCATTAGATTACTGTATGAGCCTTTCTGAGTCAACAAATGCTTTGCAATTATAGTCCAGGAATTTGACTCATATATCTAGGGATCACAACACCCTGCTAAAACATGAGAAAACTAAGACTGGAAACAACCGCTGGTGGCTCTATTGGAGACAGAGAAGAATCCCATCATGGGTTCTGCTTGATAAAAGGAGGCATCCTGTCAGTGGTGCAGACAAGTGGTCATGGACACAAGTGTGACAAATATATCTCATGAGTCAGAGTTTCCATCGGAAGAAGGCTACAATCTGAATCTGAGCAGATCAGTGCACTCATTAATTTTATTGTTTATTTGAAAAGTTTGTCAAAAGCAAAATGTCTCTACACTAACCTCACTTCACTACATGCAAGTTCTTTTCAAGATCTGTGCAATCTTAACATCCATCGAAATAAAGCGCTAAAACTCAGTTTTATTAAAAAATTTACACAAATAAAGACAGATTAACACTTTCAGTCCCACGGGGTTTAGCATCAGAGGTTAAAGGGTTAGTCAAGAGGGACGTAAAATCTGCGCATCATGCGGTCACTGGGCTTCAAGGAATAACCTGTAAACGCATGACGCGTTTCTTTGGACTGAAAGAGTTAAATGGCTGTCACCATTTAGGCTGTGAAGCCGTGTCTCCACATGTCAAAGTGCAGTATAAGCAACAGCTTAACCTACCCAAATACAGATGTACTATCTTAACTTCAGGGCATTTCTCTTTCTGTTTACCAAAGACACCCACAGTCAAATAAAAGAGATTCTGGCAAAGAATAAAAACTAGGTATGCCAAGATTAAAGCAAACACAACTTATGTGTACTTTATCTTTCCCTGCCTACTTTAACGTTTTCCAATTGTTTTTAGCAGTAAATGGGAAACATCTTTTTTTTTAAATCTAATGTGTTCTTATCATAGAACCATTAAAGACTTCTAAGAATAAAAAAGAACCACAGGAAGTTACCGAACGGAACATTTAGTAACACCAACTGATGACCTTTTAAGAACTTAATTCCAACTGAACAAGAATATGATGATACTATCTTTATCATATTAAGATGTCTGCTTATTGACAAAAACTGAACCAACTACTGATTCTTCTTCTTCTTCTTCTTCACTTCCTCTTTTACCGCTGTGTGTGTCAAGGGAGATTTAAGGTTCTGTTTCTAGCTCTTCTGGCTGCCTCGACCATAGGCACATCGTGCTGTTGTAGAGTTTCTCTGATGTTATCCTTCCATCTTGTTCTTGGTCTACCCCGTGCTCTACGTCCTTATTCTCTTTCCATGTATGCTTTGTATGGTATGGTGTCACAAAGCATTCTCTCTAAGTGGGCAAACCATTTCACTTGCTGTCTTTGTATGTAATCCAGAATTGGTTCTGTGCCGACTTGTTCTCTTATGATCTCATTCCTGATCTTATCTCTTATGGTCACTCCTACAGCCCTTCTCAGACATCTCATTTCCGTGGTTACTAATTTTCTTTAATGGTTTGTTGTGAGTGACCATGTCTGGCACTGGTAGCACAGAGTTGGAATAAATATGCTTTGAATAAGATGTCTCTTTGTGCTTATTGGGATTGTCTTATGCTGTAAGAGGGAAGCTAGCTGTCCCAATACTTGGTTTGCTTTACTGCATCTAATGTCAATTTCTTTATCCAATTTCCCATCTTCGGTAAATGTAGTTCCCAGATATTTAAACTCAGATGCCTGTTTAATGTCTTTGTATTCTATTGCTATGTTTAGATCTGTCCTCTTTTTTCCTATTGACATTACTTCTGTCTTTTCAGTGTTGATTCTCATATTATTTGTTTTACATTCTTCATTCATGGATGTTAGATGTTGTTGCAATTTCATGGCTGTATCTGCTATCAAGGCCTGGTCATCTGCAAAGAGTAATTCGTTGATCTTACTACGATCTTCATTCATGGGCTTGGCATTCTTGCATATACTGTCGATGTATGTGATAAACAGCAGTGGTGATAAGACACACCCCTGTCTTACTCCAGATGTCACTGTGAAAGGATGAGATGTTCCCTGATTTATTCTAACTACACTTCTACAATCCCTGTATAAACTTTTGCACACTTCGATGAGGTGTTCGCTTACTCCATATCTTGCCATTATTTTCCATAGTAATTGTCTGTCGACTCTGTCAAATGCCTTCTCCTGGTCTACGAATGCCACAAATAAGTTCTTATTGTATTCAATGTTCTTTTCTATTAACTGTTTAAGTGTGAAGATTGCATCTGTGCAGCTTCTATTTCTCCTAAATCCCATCTGTTCTTCTGCCAGCTGTGGTTCTATCACTGGTCTCAGTCTTGTTTTTATTATCTTGGCATACATTTTGCCAACATGGCTCAAAAGAGAGATGCCTCGATATTGACCGCATTCTCGTTTGCTTCCTTTGTTCTTCCACAATGGTATAACTATTGCATGTTGCCAATCAAAAGGGGCCGTTTGTTGTACCCATGCTGCATTGAATATTCTGTGAAGCCATCTGATGCTGCTTTCACCTGCTGCTTGAATTATTTCTGTTGGTAATCTATCAGCTCCTGGTGCTTTATATTTGGGAGACTTTAATGACTTTTTCTATTTCATCCATTAGTATGTGTGGTTCTAACACTGTTGCTCTGCGCTCTTCAGTTGTTTTTTCCTGATGATCTCCTAGAGGATTAAAGAGCTCATTGAAGTATTCCCTTCATCTTTCTGCTATCTCGGGTGGATCTATCAATGGCCTTCCTGTCTTATCATTAATTATTTCAGTGGGGTTGTAGCTCTCATCTCTTTTCCGCATATTTTTAACTACTTTGAAAAATGTTCTGCTGGCTGTTTTCTCTTTTTCTGCTAGTGACTCACCGAAACGTTCCCAGGATGCTTGTTTTGCTTTCTTGACACTCCTGTTGGTTTCTCTCCTTTGCAGTCTATAGTTTATATAATCTTCTTCTTTCTTTGATTTTATCCACTGTTTATATAAGTCTTTTTTCTTTTTAATTGCTTCTTTTACTTCTTCGCACCACCAAGGTGAATATTTGTTATTTCCCCGTCTGTTTCCACTCTTCCGTTTTCCACATAATTCTTCCGCAATACTAAGCATAGTGTTTTTATATTTACTCCATTCTTCCTCAATATTGCCAACTACATGTGGAAGTTGTTTGAATGCTGCCTCTACTTTCTGTTGTAACTGTTCTTTTACTCCTTTCTGTTTCAGATTTGCTATCTTGATGAGATCCTTGTTTTTGTTTAATTTCTTTCTGTGTTTCTTTAATGTAAGATGTTTTGCTGTTAACACAACTATTTTATGGTCAGTGTCACATAGACCATTAGGGATTGCTCTTGAATCAAGAATTCTCCTTCTTCCTTGAACTCTGGTAAGTATAAAGTCAATCTGGCTCTTGATGGAGACATCATTCCATTTGTACCAAGTGTAAAGTTGTGAATCTCTATGGTCGAAGAATGTGTTCGTAATAAAAAGATTGTGCTGGCTGCATAGATCCAATATTCTTTGCCCATTTCCATTTCTAGCACTGTTCTTAGCTGCATATGGACCTAAAAACTGTTCGTATTCTCTTCTGTTATTTCCTACCCTCCCGTTGAAGTCACCCATGCTGCTTCCCTCAACTTTCTTTTTCTCATCAGACAGATCGTCAATGAATTCATCTTTCTGCTCTTCTGTATAATTATCATTGCATGGTGCACATATCTGTATATATTTTTCAGCTTGTTCTTCTCTTTTAATTTTCAAAGTATTAATTCTATCTGATTGATAATGTATGTCTAATATGTAGTTAGATATGTCCGTATGTGCCAGGAAACCCACTCCATTCTTCGATGTTTCTCCTCTTGCATATGTTAGTAAGTAGCCTCTGTGTATTTTCTTATTAATATTTCCCTTGCGTCTTATGTCAGCTAGCCCCATTAACTTGATTTTCCTTTTTTCCATCATTTCAATAATCTCTTCTGTTTTATTTCCCAGGCCAGCGGTGTTAAGTGTTGCAATCTTGTATTTCGCTGTTATGTCTCATAGTCCCTTAACATTGCCATGGTCAGATACAGTTTGATCAGTCCGTTTATATCTCATTTTGATTTCTGTAGCGGTAAAAATCCATTGCCGGCTTGCTAGGCCTGTCGCAACTTCACCAGAGCCCCGTTGACCAGGATGTTTCGGGGTGACCCAGGGTGGCCTTCATGGCTACAGTAGCGGTCCCGTGGCACGAGGCCACACCATACTTCGCCCACACCTAGCAATCCCCTACTTTGTCCTGTTACCACCTCTCACGACGAGGACGTGGGGTTGGTCTTTGAGAGGCAACTACTGATTGCTGCCATTTAAGTATGTAAAACAAATGTTACAATATACAATTATATTCCATAAACTACAGTTCAAAGATAGACAATGTGAAACAAAGTGCACAAATCTTCTTCTTCTTTTTGTCAGCATTTCGAGCCCCTGAGGTTCATTGCTGCAGATATCACCCGCCTCCATTCATCTCTCTGGTTTGGCCTTCTCTTTCCAGTTGGTGACATCAAGTGTTTGTAGGTCTGTCTGGATATTATCTCTCCATCATGTTCTTGGGCCGAATGGCAGACGGGCCTGCGTGCCCAATTTGAAACCCTTTGAAAATAAAGTTTGTTTGTTCGTTAGTTCTTGGTCAAAATACAGGACAATTTTTTTTTAAATTTCTAATAAGTATAGAACATATCTAAAGTTTCAGTATGAAAGCAGTATAGATAAAGTGGAATCACCAAGACTTTTCACAAATAACAATAGTGCACATCTCTTTCTCTCTCTCCTCTCTCTTTCTCTCTCACGCAGGCACGCAAATCACGGAGCACACGCGCCTGCATATGCAAACACACAATTGAGTACTGATGTTGCAACCAGTGGAGCTTCAGTAATATTTTACAGTTTTTGTCTTTTTTTAGTGACTTAA